TCCTTCCTTTGGAAGGATATTTCAGGAGGTAACTGAGGGTCACCGTCATGATTTTGTTTTGCATAATGGGTATCTGTTTCGTGGATTACAATTGTGCATTCCAGATTGTTCATTGAGGCAGCAAATTATAAGTGGACTCCATAATGAGGGACACTTTGGCCGAGATAAGACATTGGCCCTTATCTCTTCTGAATTTTATTGGCCCAAGTTGACTAGTGATGTGACCCATTATGTGGACCGTTGTTATGTGTGCCAGCGGTCTAAGGGAGTTCTCACCAATGCGGGATTGTACACTCCCTTACCTGTTCCTGAAGCTCATTGGTTCGATGTCAGCATGGATTTTGTACTAGGCTTACCCCGCACCCAAAGGGCCTCTGATTCTATCTTTGTTGTGGTTGACAGGTTTTCCAAGATGGCTCATTTTGTAGCTTGCAGAAAGACTATGGATGCTGACCGGATTGCCCATCTCTATTTCAAGGAGATTGTGCGTTTACATGGTGTTCCTCGATCCATCACTTCAGATCGTGATACTAAGTTCATCAGTCATTTCTGGAAGAGCCTGTGGGGGAAACTGGGAACACAGTTGAATTTCAGTAGCGCCTACCACCCCCAGACGGATGGCCAGACTGAGGTGGTGAACCGAAGTTTGGGAAACCTTTTAAGGTGTTTGGCAGGAACGAAGCCGAAGCAGTGGGATTTGGCATTGCCTCAGGCAGAATTTGCCTACAACAGATCAAAAAACAGAACCACAGGTTTAAGCCCATTTGAGATTGTCTATGGTCAGAACCCATCCGGGGTGTTGGACTTAGCCCCTATTCCACGTATAGGACGTTTCAGTCCTAAAGCAGATGAGATGGCAAAGTATCTTCGGGGTATCCATGAGCAGGTGAAACAGACCATTCATGAGAGCAATACCAAGTACAAGACTCGGGTCGACAATCATCGTCGTCAGGTACTTTTTGATGTTGGTGATTTTTTTTGGGCTGTATTAACTCGTGATCGTTTTCCTGTTGGTGAGTATAATAAGCTTAAGGATCGGAAGATTGGACCTTGTGAGGTCGTACAGAAGATCAATGATAATGCTTACAGGTTGCGACTTCCCAGTCACTTGAAGACTTCTGATGTCTTTAATGTGAAGCACCTGAGTCATTGTTTTGTGGATCCTGATGACACTACTCTGAACTCGAGGACGAGTTCTTTCCAACCCGGGGCGACTGATGCAGGGGGATCCGAGACAGATGATGCTGAGCTGTCAGATTGCACGTTGATGGCGCTGAGATACCATGAGTTGGCAGATCAGCGCAAAGGCGGGAATTGATTGTGACATGTTCCTTATTGGGGTTGTTTTGAGTATGTTTCAGTCTTTTGGCCATAACTTTGGCTACAGGTGTCAGAATCGCGCATAAGACCCCAATCCGGAAAGCTCTTTTCGACGCGCACGCTCTCCACATGAGCTATGCTCCATGTGGCCTTTTTTTCAACCTCAAATTCTGCCGTTTTCCCCTCCGAATCACTAGATTTAGTTATTTTTTACTATTTATGGTAATATTTCGATTGTTAATTAGGAAGTCAATTTAAATCCGATTTAGACCGGATTTTTGGGAGATTGCTTATTTTATTTCGAATTTCAATTTAGAGTGATTTTCGGGATTTTGCTATTTTTGGCAAAATTCGAATAAATACGATTTTTGCTATTTTTGGCAAAATTCGAATAAAGACGATTTTTTTTGCTATAACAGTCCGGCTTGTGGACTGCTTTTGAGATAGTTATTGATTTTATAATATTTTATTAAACCCTAGAGACTTTTTTCTCTGGTTTTTGGGCGAATTTTCTCTTGTGAATCGTCTGTCGGAGCTAGCCTACAGGATAATCACTATTCTGTCTGGCGTCAATACTTCCCCTCTGACCAATCTCTTTGACACTTTAGAAATCAAGCATTTAAGGGTCAAACACCATTTCCTTCTACTTTTTTTCCTGGTGCTAATAGTTGAAGTTTGTTATTTTTCCCACTTTACTTATACCAAAACAAAGCTTTTACTTCCGCAGTTCAATGATCTACTGGACTACAGAAGAAAACCTAACATTTTCTATACTATTCAGTGTAGCGACAGTGTTTTAGCCAATTAAGTTGCATATAAAACTGTTACATTGAAGAAAAACAGAACCATGTACATTCTCAAGTCAAAGAATAGGCTTTGAGTTTCTAGTAAGGTAATATACGGGGAAAATGATGCTTTGATCCGGCTGCTATAAGTCTTGAGAAAGTGAGAACTTTTTTTAATGCAATATATTCATGAAGTAGAAAAACATCAATTATTGTTCTTAAAGTGGTCGGTACTGTGCTGACTTCGGCGCACGTTTATTTGCCAAAAAGGTTTGATGTGCTAAAGTTTATGGTTTGCTGAAGTAGGCTAATTACATGCATGAACTGTCGGTGTGGAATTTGGTTGGCTACATTATCAACAAGACATTGCAGGAAAGAGAGACGTGAGGGTCACTTTTAACTGGCTGAGATGGTATGCATATTTGAAAAACCCTGACAAGTGTAAACAATGCAGGGAAGCTTCGTTGAAAATCAAGTCAGGTAATTCTCCACTGATCAGCTACCTTTTCGTTTCTGCTAATTCTCTTCTGTAACTCCAATTGTCAGGAAACGATTAAGGGCCTGTTGAATGCTTGGGGTTTGCAGGTGATACAAGGAGTTTTTTACAATGTGCTGCAAGTAACGTGTTGGCTAAGTCAACTATTACATGTTTGGAACGAAATAAGGGATTCATGGTACACAGCCGGCTTGATTTTCATGACTTGATGCGATGTCCAGGGATCTGTGATTACAAACAATTAACTGATAAAAGTTATTAATTAAATTCTGTGGCATCCAGCGATGGACCGAGGGGGCAGTCGGAGCCATTGATAATCTGTTTTCGTCCCTCTAAAATTTTATAAGTTCATCCATAACATAAAGTCATATGTCCATTCATGCTTACATCCATGGTTTAGCCAAGCTGTGTATGAAGGTGAAAGACCATTTTTACACATTGTTCATTCCTTGAAGTCACATAATCAATATATTTGGCATAATGTTAATTACTATACCTGCAGGCTAAGGCATAATGTTAATAAATATATCTGCAGGCTAAGGTTTAATTTAGGAATTTGACAAAAAAAAAAAAAGTGAACTCATGAACTAATTATTATTGGCTGGCGAACTGTTTGTTCAAATTGGTGTAGGTTTTCTAAATTAAAGAATAAAAGTCAAGCAGCATAAACTATCCCTTAAAACATATTCGCCAGTATGGAGGGCCATTAATCAATTTGCCTCTTAATTGAATAAGATTATATATTTAGTCAACCATTTTTTTAAAATTAAAAAAATTGAGTTGTGAGCATGAAGTTGGTAGGTTATGACCTCACAATAATCATTTGGACTCATGGATGAACCGTTATCCTTTATAATTTCACACAGTTAAAATTTTAATATAATTTTCTAAATTCATACTCCTTGACATAAAATAACACGTACATCTTTGCATGGACCAAAAGAAAATAATTTAAGAAGTAGAGGGTCCTAAATATAACTCTGAAACTATATAATTATTATAATATTTGAATAGAATAAATGTCAAAATTATATATGAATTTTCACCAAATGTGTAATTTTATATGAACTGCTTCAACACTGAATCTCAGCTGATATTAAAATTACAGATTTTTCAAATATTGCAGGTAACAACACAAAAGCAAGACGAACATACATATAATACTGAATTATATAAACATTTTCAGCCTCTAATGTATACAAAACAATGAATTCAAGGGCCACAGTTAAGTGGCAATTGAGTCTAGCTAGTGGCCACCTCCAGGACTCGGTACCGACTGCAAAATTCGATCTATTTTGGCAAGATGAAGCGCAAAAAGCCTTTCGTTATAAGACATTACGTGATCGTTATCAGCCGGAAGCGTGCCGGGAACATCACTTGGAACCGAATTATCCTTCGGGAAAATGACCGCTGCCTCCGTCTCGGCATCGAAAAGCTTCCTAGATTGCATCGACGGTACATGATGGATCAAAGCAAAGACAATTACAAGCAAAGCAAGGCTAAAACGAGCCATTGTAGGAACCCCAAGTAGCTTATATTGTTTGGTTTTGAATACTTTCTTTAGATGATTGTGTATCGATCTCGAGATACATACATATATATATAAATGAGTTTAGAGATGGATTGCTTCACGTCACGCGCCATTTAGGCTAAGCCATCATATTTGGAACAAGTAATTAAAATTTAGGCTGGTTTGAAAAGATTTTCAGTAAGATACCATGGAATCTGGGGTTGGTACAAATCAACTGCAACATTTTGGCCGGCTTTGTTTTACAATTCCTTTGTAATTTCCAAATCTTTCGTTTACTTGTTTTGATAAATCTTTCAGCTTTAAGCTATCTAAGAAGATAACGTCAAAACTTCTCTGTTTCTCGATGATTCAATCATCAAATAAAGCAAGTAAATGCCAAGTGTTTGGCTGTCATAATTACATTTCATATAAGCTTTAAGCTGAAACACCTAATGTTTTTTATTTTATTTTGGTAATTAGGCACCAATCATTGAGTTAAACAAAACCCAAAGATCTACATTTTTCCTACGCACTAATTTCTGCAATTAATTTAGTCTTTCTTCCTTTCAAACAATAAAACATGTTCTTTTTCTGGTAAAATTTGTTTTTAACACACTATTGATGGATAGTAAAAAACTGCAATTTTCTAACAGCCTCCTCCATGACAAGATCTTGGATTGTCATAAAAGTATTGTTCGAGCTTATACATGGTCTACACGTGGGTACAACTTAAGATGTCTTGTACAGGTTAGAACATATACTACTACTTGTAAGTACCTTAGATTAATAAAAAAAAAAAAGAAAGATGCCTTGTACAGACACAAGACATGCATCAATCCGGTACAAAAAAGAACTCATGTCAACCTTTGTCGAACCCGTTCGGTGTTCTTTAAAATTTAGTTTTGATCTTCTCTAGCTTCGTAACAATCTCTTTCGTGTTAAGCCTCTCATCTGGTGATTCTGCTGAACATTCTAAGGCAACTTGCAAGATTGATAAGGTACAATTGTTGGCTGCTGAGTGTTCCCTACCATTAGTGCTAAGTAAATTCATGTCTACTACTTGATTTAGCAGAGTAGATGATATCGACTCTTTTACCCAACTCTTCAAGCTTCTTTCTCCGGTAAACATTTCATCGGTGGGCTTTTTTCTCGTGACAGTTTCCATTAAAAGAATACCGAAACTATACACGTCTCCTTTTGTCGAAACAATTCCATCTATTCCATAGTCTGTATGAATTTATAAGAACATCATCATTATTGAATGATCTAACAAATGCAATAAAATGTCTAAATTGTTATATGCATCATAAAGGGAAATAATGTAACCTGGTGCCATATACCCAACCGTTGCCATCGTAATGGTTTGAATCATCGAGTCCTCGTTGCATAAGAGTTTTGCAATTCCGAAATCACTCAAATGTGCAACCATATCTTCATCTAACAGAATATTGCAGGGTTTCAAATCGCAGTGAACAAATGGTGTTTCATTACCATGATGGAGATACTCCAGAGCAGATGCAACATCTATCATTGTGTTTAACCTTTGTAGGATATCCAAAAAATGGTTGTTGGAATACAACCATTTATCAAGACTCCCATTAGGCATGAACTCAAGCACTAAGGCTTTGAAATCGAGATCATTAGAGCAGCTACTAATTATTTTGATTAAATTTCGATGACGAGTATTGCGGAGAACTTCGCATTCGACGTCGAAGCTCTTAAAAGCTCCTTCTAACTCTAACTTGAAGACTTTTACTGCAAATGTAATCCCATATGAGAGAGTCCCGTGGTATACAGAACCATAACTTCCATTACCAAGTAATTTGCTTCGACTGAATCCATCAGTAGCTCGATGAAGCTCGTGGTATGAAATTCGTTTCCAGGTTCCTAAAGGTACAAGTCTTTACGAGTCGGCAATTTGTCTTTTCTCTTCATACTTCACAAGATAATGATAATTAGAGCCACCACCAACAGTGTAGAAGCAATTGGCAATGCTACATATAGTATGAGCTTAGTTCTTGCCTTGGAATTCCTAAGGGGTTTAGTTTTGCAGCTCCGAACATGAAGTCGAGGTGCACCACACAATCCTTCGATCCCCTTAAACGATTCGGTCGAATAATTTCCAAATGATCCTCCCTCGGGAATTTTACCTTCAAGACCATTGAAAGAGACATTGAAATATTTGAGATAACGGGGTTTCTCCAGGGACTTGGGAATCTCTCCAGACAGATTATTTCTTGACAAGTCCAAGAACTCCAAATTCAACAGCTCGCCAAATGACTCGGGAATCGGACCAGTGATTCGATTATTCGATAAGGAAAAATGAGTGAGATCCTTGAGATTTACAACTCCAGTTGGGATAGCACTGTCGAACCGATTGTTCGACAGATCCATAATAATCAAAACCTTCCACTTTCCAATGTCAATTGGCAGTGGATCAGTTAGAGAGTTAAATTTATTTTAATTTTATTAAAATTAGGACAAATTTGATAGAATATGTAAGTAAAAATAATCAAATGTGTAATTATATCAAGGTTTTTAACTACCACGTCAGCTTCTTCGTTAAATGTCAACGACAAGTGACTTAATTGAATACATTTAAATAGTCAAATGACCTAATTGACCAAATTTTAAAAATAATGGTCAAAATGAAAAGATACAATAGTTAGATAGTCATAATATAATTTACCCTTATAAGTTATAGGGTAAACTACACGGCTGACCACTCAACTATGGTTAAAAATCATTTTGACCACCGATGTTTCAATTCAATCAATCAGACTACCTAACTATTTAAATGTTTCAATTAAGCCACTCTTCGTTAACATTTAACGGAGGAGGTGACATGTTAGTTAAAAATTTTTGGTATAATTACACAATTGGTCCTTATTATTTATATATTCTTTATATTTGGTCCTAATTTTAATAAATTTAACCTCGAATCAGGAGGTTTCATGTCATTATTCGATTGAAAGACTAAAATAAATTCAAATAAATTTAGTCATTCAATCGAATAATGACATGACAACTCCTATTCGAGGGTTAAATTTATTTTGATTTATTGAAATTAGGACCAACTTAAAAGAATTTATAAATATTAGAGACCAATTGTGTAATTATAAAAAAAGTTTTTAACTGTCACGTCACCTCCAACGTTAAATGTTAACGGAGAGTGGCTTGGTTGAAACATTTAAATAGTTGGGTGGGTGGTCTGATTGATCGAATCGAAACATCGGTGGTCAAAATGATTTTTGATCATAATTGAGTGTTCACCCATGTAGTTTACCATTCATTTTATTATTCTGAAGCGCCCGATGCACATCGGCATTTTGAATCTCTCGAGATTTAAATTTGTTTTTTTTTTTGCTCGGCAAGATGAATTTTATTAATAAAACAAACCTTAATTAAGAGTCTCGTTAAAAACCTTCCTAAACTTAGTTGGAGAAAAAGAGTACTCTTAACAAGGTGCAAAGTACAAGACCACTGACGCTTGCAAAACGAAAACATCAAAGCGGGCACTGGCCCCTCCACAACAAACCAATCGCTAAATTCACAACATATCCGAACAAAGATCAAGACTAATCAGAGACAATTATCGAATCATTACGAACAAAATGATTTGCCCAAAAACTCATCAGTAACTTCTTCATCTGGACGGCCATCTGCATCTCTAGAGTTTATATAATATTTGAGTTTGACAGATCTTCATGAAGACCATCAAGCAGAAATGCTCAAAACTCCTGGGTGACATGATAATTCAAACCACTAAAATGTGGTGCAAAACGCGCAAGCTTTGTTTTAAAAGGCCAAGGGGCAACTGGTGTTCGCTCAGGTGCCCACAGAATTGACAACAACTCACCAAATACTAGAGCAAGCTCACCCTTATACCGAAAACAACCCCTCCCTAACAAGAGAAAAATGCAGACTCCACAATAAACCGTCACAGAACCATCTTTAGAGAGAATAGCTCTAATAACCTCCATACCAATCAAAAAACACCCGAACCAAGTATGCAAAGAGCACTGCTAAGATAAATTCCTTGCTATCAAATCACCAGCTTGCCATGAACATAACTTTTCCCGTCGATCCCATCATTGCCAAGTAATCTTCCATATTATTGGTAGTCCTAGGTGAGAACACAAACTTAATCTCGCTAATCATCAGTGCAATAACATCAATTTCCTGAAAAATTACTCCCCGCCTCCATGGACAAGTAGAGGCATTTTGAATCCAAGCCAGCACTACTTTAGAATCAGATTCGACAATCAGGACAGCCTTACAACACCAGCAAGATTCAATGAACACTGAAACTTGTTCAGATACTCCACCAGGTGCATAAACATTCATAACAGAAAATATCGAAACGTCTGTAGCATGCTTCCCTTCTATCAAAATAAATCTGTCTGAAATTACGCTGTCAAGATACTGAAATCTAGTCTTATCCTACACAGACAAAATACCCCCAGATTTACCCATTGCTTTCGAGAATCTAAATTCAAAGTGTTCATCGCACCAGAATCTACTTATTTCTATATCCGCAAAATCCTCCTTTTTAGTTTCTTGTAACAGCGCCATTACAATTCTATGAATCCGAATAATCTTCCTAAGAACTGAATTTTTCACTTTAGACCCATACCTCTTGTATTCCAAGACAAAATCCGCATCTGGGCTCCTCCCCTCTGATTACAACTAGAATTCGATGGATTGGGACTCTTCTTCAATGTCGTCCGCAGCTAAAAATTCCCTAATTAAAACCTCCTCTGAACCTATAAACTGAATACCCAGCTCTCTGCCAATCTGTATCGTTTTCTTCGCTTCCAGCCTTTGTCTCTGCCATCGTTCTTGAAGATCCGAATCAAACAGGGACCTTCCTTCAAGTTCAGTCAACTCTTCCTCTCTTTGAACCTTCTTATGGTTTTTCTTCACACGACAATTTCTTTTTTTTTCTCTGGGTAACACCGTATTTTTCTTGTATTTTTTGAAGGGAACTGTATTTCTTGTTATTCCCCTTCTTGATTCTAACGTTCTGCTTATGTTTGGGCATAAAAACATCGTCACTCGACTTTGTAAGCATACAGAGCCCCTGTTCTCGTGCTTCCCCCTCTCGCCCCAAACTGGGCTTGCTTCCCTTCGGTTCTACCAAGCTCCCGTCCAATTGGTTCACTATACCATTGGATCCTTTTTTAGGTAAGCTGTTTGTAAGGCCCATAAAATCCGTGTCTTCCACCGCCTTTGATCCTAAGCTCCCTTCCCATAGAGACAAATCCTTTAAAATATCATTTATTCCATCATTTGCATCCACCACCTTAATTAGTATCCTACTGTCGTTTTGTGCCACTTCCCCCTCGTGTTCCTCCATCACTGATAATTGCTTTTGAATTTCCCCAGAACCAACAGCATTAACCCTCTGACCCAATATTGCGTCCTCCCCTATGTTTCTCTCTTCCTCATCCACGTCCGACAAAAAGTCTCCTTTTGATATGTTTCCAATACAGACTAAGTGGCTATCATCTTCCTCTTGTCGCCTCACCGAAATCTTCTACTCCGATGAATCCGAACTTCTTCCTATCGACGAACTCGATTCAACAGTAGCTAAATTAGCTTTTGCTTCTTGCTTACGACTGCTTGATTCGCTTCTATTAGTGGACTGTTCCACAATTCTAACTTTAAAAACATCCCTACCTGCTTCTAAATCAACCACTTCATCTATCAAATCCTTTCTACTAGTTGCTATTAAGATAATCATCTCCTCACATCCCAATTCCTGAAGAGCGTTTTCTCCTAACGCTAAAAATTCTCCCCATTGCTCAGCAATCCTTTTAAATGTGATATGATTCCAGCAATGTAATGGCACGCCGATTAATTTTATCCAGGTTACTCTTTCAAACGCTCTGTAAGATTCTGTCCACATATGAACTTCCAGAAAAACTTCCCGTAAGAGCGACCAGTTATGCTCCTTCATGAACCTATACAACTCATCATCAACAATTTCTATTAGGAAATCCCTCCCTCTCAGAAACTTGGTCTTAGCATCTCCCAAGCCTCCTGCACGTAATCTGTCCTCCACCTGAATCGAAGAACAGACCGTCGTCATACTTCCTACCAGACATTTCTGCAGCTTTCGAACGACATCCTCATCAATGACCCCCTGTATAATTCTGCTCCTCCTACTTACGTGAGTCTCAGAACCTTCCTCAGCACTGCTTTTATCTTTAGGTACCCTTGTGGCTATGTTGGAGTTTGAAGGGCTATTCAGATTCACACTTAGATTCTTTGCTCTATGCCGTGCTTCCTTCACTGAAAGACGATATCCGAATAACCAAAATCCATTTAGTCTTTGCATTGCTCTCACTGAATCATCTTTGTTTGAGAATCTAACAAAGCCAAATCGCTTACCCATTCTGTCATACTTCCTTGCTATGTAAGAACTGACCACATCTCCATGCCTACCAAATAATTGTCTCAATCCACTCCAATGATACCTAGGAGGTATGTTTTGAACAAACAGGGTTTGAATACCGACATTCCACATTGATGTTAGATCCATTTAACGGTATTTGAAAGTACGAAGAGTCTCAACTACTCCATTTTGTTGAGGTTAAAGCAGTTATCAAAATTGTGGTTTATAAAACATCAGTTTATCGGTAAACCAAATACACTTTATAGAAGTAGATTTAAATTTTAAAGAGTAAATATACTTTTTCGAGATTTAAATTTGTATTTGTAATAAAACTGAAAATAGAGTAATTACTCATCGGAGTATTGCTACGTTGTGAGTCACCTTTACTAATATGGAGTGTTGATTAAGGTAAATCAAATTTGATTTAATTTGAAAAGTTACTATTTTTAAGTAATGAGAATTTTAATTTGATTGTTTAATTTTTTAATTTTATCAATTAGTTTAGATAATTTCTTGAAAGTTGTTGATTCCTCAAAATCAAGGAAGTTTTTGAGGGAACTCTTTCATCGATTAAAACTTCTGAAAATCCATATCGTACAATCAACCATAATTCTTTAATATAAACTCTGGCAGACTCATAATTTATCAAGGGAAAATCTACGATCATACACTCATATTCATTTGTCCTACTAGCATATGAATAATTATCATAACTCTAGATCTGTTATTAACATTAAAAGTGAGTACATAAGATCGTCATGCTTGAGTGGAGAAAGAGTTTAAACTCTCTCTTTCTTCCCTCGAGTCGAAGAAGATTATAAAAATTTATGTCGAAAAAGTAGATACTGTTCTGATGAATATTAAGTGGAGGTTTTTTAGTAGGAATTATTAAGGAAGAGCTAGTACCATTGGTGTTGTATTTGCACTGCTGGGTGAAAGACGATTGTGGTATGGTTGATTGGTTGGTTATTGTTTGGTTTGTTGATAGATTCAT